CACCAGTAAAATCTATATTTCTATCATCTGAGCATCGACTAAGTTTATAAAGTCGCAAGATTTTGTTATCGAAAACTTCCAAGTATTGGAGATTCGGTTCAATTGAGTACAAATAAATCGTGAAGTTGGCTAATGCCTTAATGGAAAAAGTGTAAAAAATTTCAAAATGTCATCTCAGCAGCCAACAGTAAGCATGCAATATTTGGATGACTACTTCGCAATCATGTCGCATGGAAAATAAAAATTAGACGATCTTCTGATGATCATAAATGAAATTTTAAAAAAATCAAATTTATCATGGATGTGGAGGTCATTCGCTCTGAGAAAAGTATCAAGAAACGACTTTCCATAAAGAAATCGCATGATGGAATAATTCTTAACTTCCATCTAACCATACTTATGAAATGAAGATTAGAATATTCTGGAGGATGGTCATAAGAAGCCTACGACTCGCTGGCTCTGAATTCTGGGAAGAGGAACTGGAAAAAATAACTCAGATTTATCTTGGAAATGGATATCCATAAGAAGCAATATAACGCAACATAGGGATTGTAATGAACAGATAGAATAAAGGAGATCGTGAAATGAAAGCAAGAGGAACAGAGGAAAATGATGGCTATATCAACGATACTATTGAAATGGAATATTCGTAAGATCCTGAAAAAAGGGATAGTCCTCTTCATTAGTTTACCCACATAACATGAAGTAGTCAGCAAAATTAAGTGCTCCGGAGTTTACAGCATAAGCTGCAAGAACTGTAGACAAAAATACATAGAAGAAGCGGGAAGGATAATCAGCACAATGATCGAAGAACAACAGTGATTATGCAGAAAAATAGATACGGAAAGATCGGAGATAGCTAAACGCATCGCCCTTGCCGGTCACATAATTGACTGGAATGCAACGGAAAAACTGGCCTAATATGGGGAAGGCATCAGGAAACGGAAGATCAGAGGCTGTGGACATTCTCGTTCAAAGAAACCTAAAAAACAGGAGATTTGAAGAGGAAATAGTCAGCGATAATTTCGCACACTGGCTGGGCAGACTTGGAAATTCAGCGAAACATCAAAATGAAGACGCTGTTAAACAACAGCAAGAGAAAATCATTAAGAAGATCATGAGGGACAAAGGCAAGTCAAGAAAAGCGATTGCAGTGAGAGAAATCAAACCTGGAATCGGCCAAAATATTTACCCGGAGGGGTCTACCTGTGGGACGAAGGATATGAAAGTAGAGGCTAAAGATATAAGTGGGCCAGGTATGGATCACGAGTGTGTGTGGGTGCTTGTATCTGTGCCTGAAGGGGAGGTGACTGGTGACATATTTGACCACGGGGAATACCAGCCAGCACACACATGAGCATTTTAGTACCCTAGAACTAGATGGGAGAGTCCACTTGAAGGACGTGCGCTTTTCGCGATTCAGGGAAAAAAAGAGAAACTGTGCATTCTCACTCTAGCGGTTATGACTTAAGTCAGACAGAGGACCCCAAAGAATGAGATACGTGGGTGGGGATTAGAAAGAGCATAACTAAGTAACGGGTTTGAAGTCTCGGGAGAGGAAGATTCCCAGGCACTGGCATGGGTATGGACATGGACATCATTTGCCATAAATCCTCAAATATGACGTAATCGGGGACAGGAATTGAAGGCTTTTACGGAGCCTATTTCAGACCAATAGTGACTTTGATTTGTGTTTTTATTCTCGTTTATAAGAAGAGTTTCAATATTACCAGTAAGTCATTTAAATGCGATATATTCACCCTATTTCGTCTAAGGTGATGAATGACTGGTAGTTGAATTCTCCCAGAATGATATGAGTAGAGATGACGTTTTCATTGGATTTCACATATCCTTGCTTTCCCAAAACTTGTTCTCATTCAGGGTGGACTACAGGTTCGACCTCACCTTGGTCTTAACAACACCCCCAGCGAGAGTCGACCCATGGTCGAATGCGGCACTATCGTGGTTCAACTCCTGCTGGGGTTCTTGATTAGACCTAGGCGAGGTCGAAGCTGTAGTCCACCCTAGATGATAAAACCTTTAGGTAAAGCAAGGATATGTTAAATTCTCATACGATTCACCGACTCTGAGTTCTGGGAAGATAAACTGGAAAAATTAACCCAGATATTTCTTGGAAACGGATATCCCGAAGAAGCAATTCAACGCAACTTACGGATCGTGATGAGTAGATGGCAAGACGGGGATAATGAAAGGAAAGCAAGGGAAGCAGAGGAAAAACGATTGACTTGTCTACTCCCCTGCGAATTGGCTCGGAAGCTGCGGCCGATACTATGGAAATGAATAACTGGTACAATACTGAAGTAAAGGACAACCCTCTTCACCAGCATGAAGAAGTCAACAAAATAGGGTGCTCCGGAGTTTACAATACAAACTACAAGGACTGTAAACAAAAAAACCAATGGAAAGACGGGAAGGACAATCAACACAAGGATCAAAGAATACCAGTGACTATGCATAAAAAATAGATACAGAAAGACAAGAGATAGCTGAAAAATTTAACTGACTGGCTGCACAATTGACTGGAGTGCAAAAGAAAATTAGCTTCATACCAGAACACCATAAGATGGAAGACCATGGAGGTCGTTGACATCCTCTATCATAAACCTGATTAACAAGAAAATGGATAATGGAAGAATCAGAGAATTTCGCATATTGCCTGAACAGCAGATTCAGCGAGGACAACAAAAAGAAGACGCTTGGACCAAGAAGATCTATTCAACAACATAAAGACCATCACCAAGAAGAAGATCATGAGGGACAAAGGGAAGTCAGGAAAAGGCGATTGCAGTGAGAGGAGTCAAACCTTGGATCCGCCGAAAAGTTACCGATGTAGGTCTACCTGTGGGATGTGAGATATGAAATTAAAGGCCAGAAACATACGCTAATAGAGGTGCTAATTTAAAGATATATGTCCCTATAAAATTTGTCAGTGTGGAAACCGAGTTGCGGAGCATAATGTTAGTTGTTCCCTAATGTATGTGTGTATTCTTTTGTGTGTGCCTGTAGAGATGAATGTACACACGCCTGACTAGGGTGGTTATCAACCAAGGTACACATGTACAACTGACTAGAACCTTAGGATTAGGTCTGACTGTCGCCTTGAGAGACAAGAGCAGTGTGCTTTACATGATTTAGGAGTGGAAAAAGGAAGCAGTACATTTTAACATCAGCAGTTCCGAATTAAGCCGGGTACATAGCCTCAAAGAATGAGATACAATGTGAGTGGGGATAATAATGAATATAACTGAATGGTGGGTCTGGAGTCTAGGGAGAGGAAGGTGTCAAGGCATGGGCATCATTGGCTCTAAATCCAAGAATATGACGTAAGCGTAGACGGAAATTGAATCCTCATAGGCAGCCAGATTTCAGACAGCTAGTGATTTCCATGTGTAACAAGGACCAATTGAAAAATGGGGTGGAAAGGGGTGCTAAATGAAAGTAAGAATCCATGACCCTGCAATTGGCATCTGAAACCGGTTGTGGAGATGATTACACTTAAATAAACCTACTTGTAGCAACATACTCTTAGGCTACATTGGAGGAAAGGAGAGCACATAATTGTGTGAATAGGTAGATGGACCATATGAAGTGAGTTTGAGAGAAAGAGATGCAGCACTAGAAGGTAGAACAAAAAATAAGAGCGAGGAGTGATGCCACAACGGTTGAACAGAAAATTTGTAAAGGGATTGCCTTCACTCGTCATTTTGATAAATAGTTACTTTGTGCCAACGATGGTGCCCCTCAATGACTATACCGGCAAACCGTCTGGGAAAGTACCAAGTCAATGGTCTGATGCTGGAAATCACAAATTTTATGACAGAGTAAGCATAACTAGGTACTTAACATAAGATCTCTCTGATGCCCCGACGAAGTAGCGAAAACAAGGTCAACCCAACACTAAATACATGCTGGCCTGTGCATTCTAATTATAATGAAATCCATTTTAGAGTCATGTATGGTAAGAGTAGTCATTGTATCCTATTGATACGAAAGTGAAGGTACACATAAGAGGGTGATTATGAGAAAATGACGTACCCTGAATAACAAGTTTCAAGAGTTTTAATCTTGCGTCTGGCACGTTTCCTTTTCCAGGACTCGTAGGCAGCATAATATCCACGATGAATTGATATCAAAATTTCCTCCAGGCAAAGAAGATAACTAGCGTCTCCCTTATCTAATAGTTCCTCTTCCAGATCCACCTCCGCATTCTGCGACCTAAGTTCATGCATGAGGTCGCAACTTTCTGGAGTCGATATATCCTTTGAATAGGCATCATCTCCACTAATGCAAGTGTTGGCGGTTGTAATCTCTAAGGGAACGTTAGCTACATTAGTAGCAAGATTTTCACCCTTGAGAGTAGCTGTCGCACTTGTGACAATCAAACTAGTAGCAGAACCTGTGGTAATGGTATCGGATATTGGGGTTGTATTTAAAGCAACGAGAATATCTACATCGTTTTGATTGAATTCTTGATTAGGAGCGAGAAAGGACGACAGCACCCTTGTGCCAGATGATATGGCAGACAAATTGCTTTCCATTTCTGGTGCTGGTGTCGTGGCGTTAGCAGATATAGAAGAGGTTACACATTCCCTTTGACTTGTTGATGTGTCATCTGAATAG